GTGAAACTATCATCAGGTTTTTTTTTTTTTATGAACTGATTAATTCTGATTTCAATGATATATCACACAATGTATTTCATTTAAAAAAACATTGAATTATTCAAAAAAAAAACGAATAGTGTTTCCATAAAAACCAACAAACAATACTTATGAAGAATACTTCGAAAGTACTGGTTTAAGATGGTTTTTACAAACGAAGAGAAACGAGACATGATAAAACTTTATTATAAATATGACAGAAATATAGTGAGAACTTCGCAAATATATTTGGAAATGTATCCAGATGGACGACAACCGGGCAGAACGATATTTACAACATTAAATCAACGTTTGGTTGAATATGGAGCTTTTCAGAAGCCACGGAGAAAGTACTGTGATAGAATGAATCAGGAAGTTACAGTACTGTTTTAGATAAGAAATAATAGTTCAAAATCTACATATGAAATTGCATCAGAATTTGGGGTTCCGCAAACTAAGTAGTGTCTGGAGAGAGTTTAAAAGGAATCACTTAAAATGTTATAAAGTATACGATTCACAAAAATTACACCCAGGAAATCCTGCAAGAAGACTAGCCTATTGCAAATTATATCTGGATTATAAATCAAATCAATATTTCGCTGAATTTTTTTACTTTTACAAATTTTGGTGTTTTCAACAAAAACAATGAGCATATTTGGAGCATCAACAATCCTATGCAATTCAAGGAAATTAGGCCATAAATTAGTTTTAGTTTAAATGTATGGGCAGGAATCTATGGAAATCGAATATTAGGTCCACATTTTTTCCGGAGTAATTTGAATGGAGAAATGTATCTGCAATTTTTGAGAACAACATTTGGGGAATATTTGGAGAATTTACCTATTGCAAACTACAACAAATATTGGTTCCAACACGACGGAGCCCCTGCTCATAACACTTGAGCAGTGTGTGATTTTGTTGATGGAGAATTTCCAAATCGATGGATAGGAAATAATGGGACGATAAGATGGCCTGCAAGATCTCCGGATCTAAATGTTTTAGATACATTGTTATGGGGAGTTTTGAAGAACAAGGTGTAGCAACAAGAACATGATAACATTGAAAACCTAAGAGAGAGTATCATAACTGAATTTAGATCCATAAGAAGAAGAGAGAGCTGTATCTCAAAAATCAAAAGAGATTTTCAGAAACTGTTTGTTGCATTAAAAAATTGACACTTTCATTTATAATTTCTGAAAATTGTAGAGAAAATTTTTAAAATTTTTTTAATTTAACCATTATGTTGTAAAACGGAAAATAAACTTATCAACTTAAAAAAATTGTATCTCAAAAACCACCAGAGATTTTCAAGAACGGTTTGTTGCATTAACAATTAAACACTTTCGCTTATGAGTTCTGAAAATTGCAGAAAAAAATGTTAAGAAATCGAATTTTCACGAATTTTTGAATTTAATGCTATAACCAACACTTTACAAAACAGTAAAAAAACTTAAGGAACTTGTATCTCAAAAACCAAAAGAGATTTTCAAAAACTGTTTGTTGCATTAAAAAATTGACACTTTCATTTATAATTTCTGAAAATTGTAGAGAAAATTTCCAAGAAATCACATTTTCACAATTTTTTTAATTTAACCATTACGTCGTTAAACGGAAAATAAACTTATCAACTTAAAAAAATTGTATCTCAAAAACCAACAGAGATTTTCAAGAACGGTTTGTTGCATTAACAATTAGACACTTTCGTTTATTAGTTCTGAAAATTGCAGAAAAAAATGTTAAGAAATCGAATTTTCACAAATTTTTGAATTTAATGCTATAACCAACACCTTATAAAACAGTAAAAAAACTTAAGGAACTTGTATCTCAAAAACCAAAAGAGATTTTCAAAAACTGTTTGTTGCATTAAAAAATTGACACTTTCATTTATAATTTCTGAAAATTGTAGAGAAAATTTCCAAGAAATCACATTTTCACAATTTTTTTAATTTAACCATTACGTCGTTAAACGGAAAATAAACTTATCAACTTAAAAAAATTGTATCTCAAAAACCAACAGAGATTTTCAAGAACGGTTTGTTGCATTAACAATTAGACACTTTCGTTTATGAGTTCTGAAAATTGCAGAAAAAAATGTTAAGAAATCGAATTTTCACGAATTTTTGAATTTAATGCTATAACCAACACCTTATAAAACAGTAAAAAAACTTAAGGAACTTGTATCTCAAAAACCAAAAGAGATTTTCAAAAACGGTTTGTTGCATTAAAAAATTGACACTTTCATTTATAATTTCTGAAAATTGTAGAGAAAATTTCCAAGAAATCGCATTTTTACAATTTTTTTAATTTAACCATTACGTTGTAAAACGGAAAATAAACTTATCAATTTAAACAATTTGTATCTCAAAAACCACCAGAGGTTTTCAAGAACGGTTTGTTGCATTAACAAGTAGACACTGTCGTTTATGAGTTCTGAAAATTGCAGAAAAAAATATTAAGAAATTGAATTTTCACGAATTTTTGAATTTAATGCTATAACCAACACCTTATAAAACAATAGAAAAACTTAAGAAACTTGTATCTCAAAAACTAAAAGAGATTTTCAAAAACCGTTTGTTGCATTAAAAAATTGACACTTTCATTTATAATTTCTGAAAATTGTAGAGAAAATTTCCAAGAAATCGCATTTTCACAAATTTTTAATTTAACCATTACGTTGTAAAACGGAAAATAAACTTATCAACTTAAAAAAATTGTATCTCAAAAACCACCAGAGATTTTCAAGAACGGTTTGTTGCATTCAAAATTAGACACTTTCTTTTATGAATTCTGAAAATTGCAGAAAAAAATGTTAAGAAATCGAATTTTCAGGAATTTTTGAATTTAATGCTATAACTAACACCTTATAAAACAGTAAAAAAACTTAAGGAACTTGTATCTCAAAAACCAAAAGAGATTTTCAAAAACGGTTTGTTGCATTAAAAAATTGACACTTTCATTTATAATTTCTGAAAATTGTAGAGAAAATTTCCAAGAAATCACATTTTCACAATTTTTTTAATTTAACCATTACGTCGTTAAACGGAAAATAAACTTATCAACTTAAAAAAATTGTATCTCAAAAACCAACAGAGATTTTCAAGAACGGTTTGTTGCATTAACAATTAGACACTTTCGTTTATGAGTTCTGAAAATTGCAGAAAAAAATGTTAAGAAATCGAATTTTCACGAATTTTTGAATTTAATGCTATAACCAACACCTTATAAAACAGTAAAAAAACTTAAGGAACTTGTATCTCAAAAACCAAAAGAGATTTTCAAAAACGGTTGGTTGCATTAAAAAATTGACACTTTCATTTATAATCTCTGAAAATTGTAGAGAAAATTTTCAAGAAATCGAATTTTCCCAATTTTTTTAATTTAACCATTACGTTGTAAAATGGAAAATAAACTTATCAACTTAAAAAAATTGTATCTCAAAAACGACCAGAGATTTTTAAGAACGGTTTGTTGCATTAAAAATTAGACAGTTTATTTTATGAATTCTGAAAATTGCAGAAAAAAATGTTAAAAAATCGAATTTTCACGAATTTTTGAATTTATGCTGTAACCAACACCTTACAAAACAGTAAAAGAAACTTGAGGAACTTATATCTCAAAAACCAAAGCAGATTTTCAAAAACGGTTTGTTGCATTAAAAAATTGACACTTTCATTTATGATTTCTGAAAATTGTAGAGAAAATTTTCAAGAAATCGAATTTTCACAATTTTTTTAATTTAACCATTACGTTGTAAAACGGAATATAAATTTATCAACTTAAAAAATTGTATCTCAAAAACGACCAGAGATTTTCAAGAACGGTTTGTTGCATTAAAAATTATACACTTTCTTTTATGAATTCTGAAAATTGCAGAAAAAAATTTTAAGAAATCGAATTTTCACGAATTTTTGAATTTAATGCTAAAACCAACACTTTATAAAACAGTAAAAAAAAACTTAAGAAACTTGTATCTCAAAAACCAAAAGAGGTTTTCAAAAACGGTTTATTGCATTAAAAAATTGACACTTTCATTTATAATTTCTGAAAATTGTAGAGAAAATCTCCAAGAAATCGCATTTTCACAAATTTTTTTAATTTAACCGTTACGTTGTAAAACAAAAATTAAAGTTATCAACTTAAAAAATTGTATCTCAAAAACCAACAGAGATTTTCAAGAACGGTTGGTTGCATTAACAATTAGACACTTTCTTTTATGAATTCTGAAAATTGCAGAAAAAAATGTTAAGAAATCAAATTTTCACGAATTTTTGAATTTAATGCTAAAACCAACACCTTATAAAACAGTAAAAAAAAACTTAAGAAACTTGTATCTCAAAAACCAAAAGAGGTTTTCAAAAACGGTTTGTTGTATTAAAAAATTTACACTTTCATTTATAATTTCTGAAAATTGTAGAGAAATTTTTCTAGAAATCACATTTTTACAAATTTTTTAATTTAACCATTACGTTGTAAAATGGAAAATAAACTTATCAACTAAAAAAAATTGTATCTCAAAAACCACCGGAGATTTTCAAGAACGGTTGGTTGCATTAACAATTAGACACTTTCGTTTCTGAGTTCTGAAAATTGCAGACAAAAATGTTAAGAAATCGAATTTTCACGAATTTTTGAATTTATGGTGTAACCAACACCTTACAAAACAGTAAAAAAAAACTTAAGAAACTTGTATCTCAAAAACCAAAGGAGATTTTCAAAAACGGTTTGTTGCATTAAAAACTTGACACTTTCATTTATGAATTCTGAAAATTGCAGAAAAAAATTTTAAGAAATCGAATTTTCACGAATTTTTGAATTTAAAGCTATAACCAACACCTTATAAAGCAGTAAAAAAATTTGTGAAATATTTTGGTAGAAACAAGGAAGGTTGAGAATTTTTATGAATCAAAATGTTTTTAATACTTTCTATTACACATCTAATTTATAAATATTAATGAAACGTGTAAATACACATAATAATATGTTTATTCTTGAAAACTTTGCATTAAAGTGAAAAGTGAAAAAGCAGCTTGCATCATCTGAAACGAAACAATATTTTATAACACACCCAAATATTAAAGAAAATTCGAACCTTTAGAAACATATTTAAATCTAAAATCCATAATCCAGCAACTAACTCAACTTTTGATTGTGCCATCATGATAATCATACACAGCGATTTAGTAAATTTATTATTGTGCTCAAGATGCCAATCGTAATCAAAAGCTGCATGTGCTAAACTATTAGCTTGTTCTGAAATTTTTTCCCCCGCTAAACAATACGTGAAAATTTGTAATGTTAAAGTCATAAAATAAACGCAATAATTCGCAGCTAACGAATAACTTTTAGCCATCCTCCCAGTTCCGATGGTGTAAATTCCAATGCAAACCGAAGCAACTGATCCACTCATTTGATTCATATTCAGAGTTGAATAAACCGTGTTGATGTCTTTAATAAATTTTAGAACAAGATTGTGTTGGTAAACCAACATAGAAACTCGATCCATCAAAGCTTTTTGGTCGTTAACCCCATTTTTAACGTCTTTAAGGTTGTTTATACCATATTTAATTTTTTCTAATTCACAATAAGCCATTGTTAAGAACCCAAAAAATAATCCATCAAAACCGCTGATTGTTACACACATAAATATAAAACCGAGTACTTCCATAAAATAATTTAAGTAAAAACAAGTGTGGCTTTTGTTACTATCGCAAATCGTGTGCCAAGGAATCGATAAAGTTTGAATCATCACCAAAGGTTTAATACAAAACGTAAAACATGTTAAAAAAAGCAAGATTAGCATCGTTTTGAAACCTTTCGCGGTTTGAGCGTGGATATTTGAAACTATATTTTTGCACTCTTCCCCAAAAATATCTAAAGGCCAAAAAGCTTCGGTTGATTTTATTAAGTTTGCGTAAGTTTTTCCATCGACGAGTAACATGAAATATTTTGCGAACATCTAAAATTTAATAAATTAATTATTTTAATTAGGTTGTTGTAATTTTAACTTGATAAAATCCGACGAATCCAATCATTGCTTCAGCCATAACTTCAACGTTTAAAATAACTTGGGTTGTTAATAATTTCGTCGAGGCGTAACAACACATCAAAAAAATTAAAATCCTTAAATATCTTAGTTTGTCTTTGATGATTGGGTGAATACCAACTATTGTTAGGTACTTTAAAGCTGAAGGAATTAATGGACTTTGATCCATCGTTCTAGAGAACTAAAAGAATGAGTGGTGAATTTTTTTAATCTTTTTATATAAAGCTTTGTGACATATATTACTGGGTTATTATCCAATTATGTCCGGGTAATTGGTGCAGTAAAATTGGTGGTTGGAAATTAGCGGAGCTGAATAATTTATTTTGCTGGAAAATTAGATGAATTTAAAGGGAAAAAAAAGTCGTGATAGACCTTGAACTTTTCCGTATCCCATCCTAAATCAACATGTTTTTTATAACCCCCAAGTGTGTTTTTAAGAAAATCTCCTTTTTTGAGACACGAAGACCCTTGACTAAAAAAAAAATATATAAAAAGAACCCGTGGCATGACAAACGCTTTTCCGGAAACGACGTTTGAATAACATTCGGTGAAATATTGAAAACAACGCGCTAAATAAATCCGTTAAAGCATGTCAGGTACCGGGTGGGAGTTGCAATCATTTTCGAGCTGAAATATGAAGAAATAAATCAACTAATGGCGGACGGGATTGCGCTAAATTTCGTATATGTACAATTCTACAATTGCCCGTTCACGCATGTGCTCGTAATGCATATATCATTGCGAACCAAAAAAAAATTAACCCTCAATGTGAATCATTCGAACATGTGTGTTTTGTATATCGACACAACTCATGATATGACTATTANGCACTTTTTCTTTTGTATTGTTGCTCGTTTCAATAAATTAAGTCTGTTCTGATTAGGCTAAAAATGCGTTACGTAATGAAACCAGTGCGGTAATGAACTTCATTACGTAACTCAAATGAGTGCGGTAATGATGACTTATCCAAGCAGTCGTAGATAAAATGTTATTATTGTACTTAAAATAGTGACAGAAATATTACATTCTGTCCTTTTATTGTTTTTTCTTTTTTATTTGTCTGTCATTTCTAAATCAGCAAAATTATATTAAAATACAATTAAAAAAAAAATTTAATAATTAAATAATCAAAACGTGATAAAAATCCAAAAAAATACAACTAAATGGCAGAACACTAAATCCCTTTTATATTTACTAAATTATTTGAAGGAAATGCAGCAACAAATTATAAATAATTACTAAACGTTGCTCAACAAGTAGGTATTAATTTAATTAACATTTAGAAGTTGTTCAAAATACCGCCCATTTTCTCTTCTACTAGCATTAATGCGCTGTATAAAAGACCTTGAGGTATCTTTTAACATGTGCATCTTATTTTCTCTTAAGTTGTAAGTTATATGGCAGAACAATTGCATATTTTATTACTTACATCTTTTTAAAATCTTATATTATATTATATTTTTTTTATGTTATATTTTATTTATTCAATAATGTAAAGAGCGTAAAAAATATCGTCATAAAAATGAAAAAAATTACAATTCAAAATTTATAAATTCATTTATAGAATAAAATTCTCCTTCCAGTCGGATTTTCTTCACTGTGCTTTTAAACCTTTTGTGATTCATTTCCTTTACTTCTGTTGGCAGTGCATTGTATAATTTTATTGCTATATAATTGAAAGTTTTTAACGTTCTACGGGATCGTTAAGTCTTCTCTGTGACGTGTACAGTAACTATGTTTGTCCGAATTTACGGAGAGTTCTCCTCGATTTTTGTGAATGTGTTCTACACAGGCAAGTATAAAACACGTAAAAAGTGTTTTACAACTATTTCGTTGAGGTATCCCTACTAAGATTCGTATGGCATTCTTTTGCTGTTTAAAGATTTTCTCCATGTCAGTTGAGACACCCCATGCCATTATACCATAGGTCGCGATGCTGTGGAAATACGAAAAGTACACATATCTTGCTTCCTCTAAAGGTAAGTTCTTTGCTATAACTTTTAGACAGTACAGCGAACCAGCCAATCGTTGTTTTAGTTTTGTTATATGATCCGACCAAGTGAGAGTTTCATTCAGAGTAACACCTAGAAATTTTACTGTTTGATTTGTTACCTCGCCTCTTCATTTGGTATAAAAGGTGAGTATTTTAGTTTTATCCGTATTCAGTTTTAACTTATTGCAGTTAAACCAGTCTTCTGCTTTACGTATTGTCTGTTCCGTTTTTAGTTTTAGGATTGTTACATTTGTATCTCTATTCATAAGCGAAGTATCGTCGGTATATAAGCACATTAAGTTTGTTGGGATATTTTCTGGTAAGTCGTTTATGTACAAAAGAAAAAGAACGGGTCCCAGTACCGAACCTTGCGGAACACCCGTCGTTATATCTTTCCATTCTGATTGGCGATCTTTCCAGTATACACATTGTTTTCTTTCACATAGGTAAGATTTAATTTGTCTCAAAGCTCCATACTGAAACCCGTATCTCTTCAGTTTATATAACAGTATCCCATGATCAACGCTATCAAAAGCTTTACTAAGATCACAGAAAGCCNTGTCAGGTACCGGGTGGGAGTTGCAATCATTTTCGAGCTGAAATATGAAGAAATAAATCAACTAATGGCGGACGGGATTGCGCTAAATTTCGTATATGTACAATTCTACAATTGCCAGTTCACGCATGTGCTCGTAATGCATATATCATTGCGAACCAAAAAAAAATTAACCCTCAATGCGAATCATCCGAACATGTGTGATTTGTAGATCGACACAATTCATAATGATATGACTATTAATAGTAATTAAAATTTTTTTTGAGAATTTGTATCTCAAAAACCAACGGAGATTTTTAAGAACGGTTTGTTGCATTAAGAATTAGACACTTTTGTTTATAAGTTCTGAACATTGCAAAAAAAAATTTTAAGAAATCGAATTTCCACGAATTTTTTAATGTAATTCTACAACCAATAACTTATAAAACATTTTATTTATTTATTATTAACACTAGAAGGCACAGAAACGGGACGAACCCACAAACTCTGCGCCACAAAATAATACAAAAACAAATCACCAAAACACAATGTTAAACTAAAATTACATTAACGATCGTATCGAGTTAATTGAGATAATAAAAATAAAAGGATTGACTTTATAATAATAACAAGACATTGCAAAAAAAAGAAAACGCAAATTAAACTTCATTAACTATGCAATTACAGAACGAAGGATGAGCATGCGGAATCAAATTTCTTTTGAATTCTTTCAATTCTCGAAATATATGTTTGATATTGCAGATTCCAAATGGAGTTACAATAATTCAGAATACTATGAACATAAGTAAAATATAGAGTTTTTATAGCATTGACATCCGCAAAGTCTTGAGTGGTTCTCATAATGAATCCAAGCATGCGCCATGCCTTGGCGACCACTGCACCAACGTGGCTCTCAAACATCAGTCTTTCATCATATATGACGCCCAAATCTCTAATCTGAGTTACTCTGGGTATTTGAGTATGGAAATAAAACACAATATATGAACTTCACACTGGCAGAGATTATTTAATGTATATCGGAACCGGTTTCGTAGTTTATAACTTCATCTTCAGCCGAAAATGACAGAAAGTGAAGCCAACAGGTATAATCATTTGAAAATTTGAAATGTTGAAAGTTTTTGAAAGTCTCTTCTTCTCGCTTAGAATCATGTCGAATCTTTAATACCTCATTTGTTGTAATTTTTCAAGAAATTTTTAGGTTTAACCATGACTTTTTTGATTTGTGTTCATATTTTATATTCTGGCTGTTATTTAATGATTTAAAGAAATTAAAGAAAGAAATCGGGAGAAGTCAAGTCGGATGATCTAGCTGACCAATTCACCGGTCCATTACGTGCTATCCATTTTTCAGGAAACATTTCGTCTAAAACTTTTCTTGCGGTTAGAGCATTATGAGATGGACATCCATCATGTTGATACCATAGCGCAAGTCTTCACTCCAGAGTAAGGTGTTCCAGCAAAACCAGTAAATCGTTCACCAAAAATTCCGATACTTTCTGCCATTCAAATTGCCATCAATAAAAAAAGGTCCAACAAACATGTTATTTTTTGTTTTTGTTGATATCTTCACAACGGAGAGTTTAAGAAAAAAATTTTTAAGCAAAAAGTAATCAGTTTGTCAAGTTGTTTAAGACTTTGAAGGAAAAATATATATATGCCGTTTGAAAAAATAAAAATGATGTCAGAAGGGCCTTTAGGCAACCTTCTCACCAAAAAATGTTTACTTGAAACGTTTTTCGATTCGAGTTTTTGTTTTTGAGATATAAGTATATGTCATTTTAAATTAAACACGCGGTATATAAGAAGTATACAGGGTGCCCATTATGTATGGAATATAGTATATATCTTGGTAGGTATCAACTTTATAAAAAAACATTTTATACAAAACTTGTTTAATATTTTATTTGCCATAATAAGACTGCATTCAATTGTTTTTAATTCAGAAAACAAATGAGTAACGAATAATACTTAAATTTTTTTAAATGGCAATGTATGCTTTCTTTAGGCTGATTTGATAGAGATTACTTTTCTCTTTACGATGGCGTAAAACTTTTGTATCCTTACATCAGAAAATTTTTGAGAAAAATGGAAAAACTGTTTATTAATAAAAATTATTTAATAACATTAATCTAGATATCCGAGATCGTCAAGTACCTCGAATTATTACTGTAAAATACAAAATAAAACAAATAAACGAAAAATTAGTGTACATCTCCAATAATTCGAGGTACTTCGAGGTATTTGGCGATCTCGGATATCTAGATTAATGTTATTAGTTAAATTTTCTTAATAAACAATTTTTACATTTTTTTCAAAAATTTTCTGATATAAGTGTACTAAAATTTTACGTCATCGTACAGAGAAAAAAAATCTCTATCAAATGAGCCTAACAAAAGGGTACATTGCCATTTAAAAAACTCATCAAAACAATTGAATGCTGTCTTATTATGGCAAATAAAATATTAAACAACTTTTGTATAAAAAGTTTTTTTATAAAGTTGATACCTACCAAGATATATGCTATATTCGATAATGGGCACCCTGTATATAAAATTGAAGCAATACGGTTTTAATTTATTAGTTAGCATATTATTATGATTAATGCTATAGTGAAATACAT